TCCCCTCCGCCGCCGCTCCCCCCTCCCTTCCCGGGCCGCTGCGCCCCGTGTCTCCTTCTCCTTCTCCTCCTCTCCTCCTCAGTGCCTGCCCTGCCCCCAGACGAGGAGGGTGTGCGTGCGTGTCGTCTGCCCGTCGGTCCGTTGCGCCCTGCTCTCTGCGCGCCCGTTGGTGTTTGTGTCTTGTGTGTGCGTGTGTGTGTGTGTGTGTGCGACACACCCCGCGAGTGCGTCCCCGTGCCCCCCGAGGCCCATGAGGCCATGATCGAGGCGCGAGTCGGCGCGATGTGGGCGCCCCGGGCCATGGATTACTGCCCGCCCGCGCTGGCCCACCACCCGCCAGGGCGCGAGCTCTACCAGCCCATGCCCCCCTTCTGTGAGTGCGACAAAATCTCAACCTCGGGTTCGAATCGAGTTCGGATCACACAATATTTGCCGCTTGGATTACTTTACTTCTTCACACTGCCCAACTCCAGTGGATACGTTGTGGTCTCGTGGAGGATTATCAGTGAAAAAGTGCGCGCGCGCGCGCGCGCGTGTGTGTGTGTGTGTGTGTGGTGGACTTGGTGGACTTTTTCTTAATGTTGAGTGTTTTCGGCTCATTATCGTTTGGACGGCCATCCAGGGTTTCTCTCTTCCGAGCAACAAAACGTCGAGGTTTGGAATGCCGTGGCCGTGCTCGCGCCGGCCGGCGCGCCACCTGACGAGTGCGAGAGAGACAGACAGGGCGGCTGCCGGCGTGCAAGAGAGAGCGCGAGGGGGGGGGGGGGAGACCATCCCCTTGTCTTCTCTCTCTCTTACTGCTGCGCTCTGATACTGAACGTGAACGACGTGAACGGACGTGCCGATGCATCGCAGTCGAGAATCAGTCCGTTTTCGTCCCCTGACTGCCTTTTCTCTTTAATTTTCGTTTCAATTCTTACACCATAATGGGAACACCTGTAGCGTCCTTTCCGCTCGGTCGGTCGCTTTAAAAGAAATAATTCATGATTATCATTATTTGTGGATGTTTGTGTCGTTGGACATCGATTTGATCGGGTTTGAAATATTTATT